CTTCTGAGTAGCTGGAATTACAGGCACGTGCCACCACTCCTGGCTAAGTTTTGTATTTTTAGTAGAGAAGGGGTTTCACCATGTTGGTCAGGATAGTCTCGAACACTTGACCTCATGATCTGCCTGCTTTAGCCTCAGAGTGCTGGGATTACAGGCGTGAGCCACTGTGCCCGGCCAAGAATGTTTCATTAAATATCTCGATTTTTAAGTTTTGGTGCTCCTTACATTTTGTGTTCAAGATAAGTACCTCATTTTTACTGTAGTTCCTGCCCTACTGGAAGAATTAGATATCTACATAGGGAGGAAGGGAGTGTTGACCCCTACCCCTCACCATACACAAAAATAATGTGAGATGGATCATAGATCTCAATGTGAATGAGAAAAAAAATAAGGCTTCTAGAAGAAATATAGACGGGTATCTTCATGGTCTAGTGGTAAGCGAAGATTTCTTGCGGTGGGGGTGGGGGTAAGGAGGAGAACACTAATCTTAACAAAACTTCATAAATTGGATTTTATTAAAATTTAGAATTTTTGGTCATTAAGACACCACTGTAAATGAAAAAGTGAGTCACAGAGTGGTAGAATTTATTTTAAATACCTGTATCTGGCAAAGGACTCATGTCCATAGTATTCAAAGAATTCCTACAAATCAGTTAAGTAAAGGAAACACTGATAACTCAATTATTAAAAATGTGCAAAAGACAAACAGGCAGTTCACAAAAGAGAATTTCTAAATGGCCGATAAACATGAGAAGTTGCACACTATTATTAGTCATTAGGGAAATGCACATTAAAACTATAATGCAATATCACGCAGACTCACCAGTGACTAAAATGAAAAAGATGGGCTGGGCACAGTGGCTCACATCTGTAATCCAGCATTTTGGGAGGCCGAGGTGGGGTGGATCACCTGAGGTCAAGAGTTCAAGACTAGCGTGGCCAACACAGCAGAACCCCATCTCTACTAAAAATACAAAAATTAGCTGGGCATGGTGGTGAGCCCCTGTAATCCCAGCTACTTGGTAGACTGAGCCAGGAGACTCGCTTGAAGCTGGGAGATGGAAGCTGAAGTGAGCCAAGATTGCACCACTGCACTCCAGCCCAGATGACAGAGTGAGACTCTCAGAAAAAAAAAAAAAATTGTCAACAACGTGTGAATCTCAAACACATTATGTTTAGCAAAAGAAGTCAGACACACAAGAACTTATACTGTATATAAGTTCTTATATACTGGGATTACAGGGGCTCACCACCATGCCCAGCTAATTTTTGTATTTTTAGTAGAGATGGGGTTCTGCTGTGTTGGCCACACTAGTCTTGAACTCTTGTATGATTCTATTTTTTGCAATGTTCAAGAACAGGCAGAATTAGCAGCCAAAAAACATGAAAAAAAAATCTCATCACTGGTCATTAGAGAAATGCAAATCAAAACCACAATGAGATACCATCTCATGCCAGTTACAGTGGTGATCATTAAAAAGTCAGGAAACAACAGATTCTGGAGAGGATGTGGAGAAACAGGAATGCTTTTATACTGTTGGTGGGAGTGTAAATTAGTTCAATCAATGTGGAAGACAGTGTGGTGATTCCTCAAGCATCTAGAGCCAGAAATGCCATTTGATTCAGCAATCCAATTAGTGGGTATATACCTAAAGGTTTATACATCATTCTACTATAAAGACACATGCACATGTATGTTTATTGCAGCAGTGTTCACAATAGCAAAGACTTCGAACCAACTCAAATGCCCATCAGTGATAGACTGGATAAAGAAAATGTGGCACATATACACCATGGAGTACAATGCAGTCATAAAAAAGGATGAGTTCCTGTCCTTTGCAGAGACATGGATAAAGCTGGACACCATCATTCTCAGCAAACCAACACAAGAACAAAAAGCCAAACACGGCATGTTCTCACTCATAAGTGCAAGTTGAACAATGTGAACACATGGACATAGGAAGGGGAATATCACACACTGAGGCCTGTCGCGGTAATGGAGGGTCTAGGGGAGAGGTAGCATTGTCAGAAATACCTAATGTAAATGATGGGTTGATGGGTGCAGCAAACCACCATGTCACATGTATACCCATATAACAAACATGCACATTCGGCACATGTATCTCAAATCTTAAAGTACAATAATAATAAAAGAAAAAAAGAATCCCTCACGATGCTGCCACATTGGGGATAACATTTAGGTATGACTTTTGAAAGGACAAAATATTCAAAGCATAGAACATTTACTGCTATAAATTTCCTTTTTAACTGTTTTTGCTGCATTCCATGAGTTTTGGTATGTTGTTTTTTACCCTCTTATTTGTTGTAAGATATTTTTAAATTTAACTTTTAACTTCTTCAGAAAAAAAAAGAATAGGTGAAACTAATCCATGATGATAGAAATCAGAATAGAGGTTGTGTCTGAGCAGAGAGGAGGGCAGAGATCAGAAAACAACATGAGGGTCGTTTCCATTCAGGGCTGTGGCTAAGCCATATCTCTATCAGGGTTTTAGTTACATGGGTATATAAATTTGTCAAAACTCATCACCCTATACACTTAAGATCTATGCATTTTAAGATATTCATTGTAACTTAATAAAAATGTTTAACAAAAAAGTTTTTTGTTACATAAATATGTAGTAAGAAATTGTATTAGTTGTTTTATGAGGCAGAGTGACTTCCTGAGTAATTTACACTATATTTTTGTTGCTGCATTTTCTGACAAAGAAAGTAGATTCATGCTTCCCTGTACCAAAGAAGGTAGCCAGGCCTTTGTCCATAGGGTCTTGGAACTCCTAATGCACAGCAGGGAGTTAGTTTTTCAGGGCTGAAAAAATGGTCAAGAACCAAAAAACCAAGCCTCAAATAAGTCTAGATCTGCGAAAATTTTAAGCTGAAGTGTCCCAGAAGGTTGAGACAGGAAGTAAGCTGGCTCCCTGAAATGCCAACAGTCCTGAAGCCTCAAGTGCACTGGGTAGGAGGATCCTGGGTAGGGAGTCCCCAAGCCCTTCTGGTGTTAAGAGCCCAGATACAGCAGTTTAGGGACCTTAGCAAAGACCCTGGAGACCAAACTTGGCAGAGAGGGGTTGAGACATAGTTTTTGCCTCCAGATGGCTAAGAAGAAAAGCAAGAGCTATCCCTGTGGCTTAAGGGCCTGTCTCACTTCTACTCTGGATAAACTGCAGAAACTCTGGAATTCTTACACAATACAAAGGTTGGACTTTTTTTTTTTTTTTTTTTTTGCCAACCTAGGTAAAGGAAGGATTAAGCCAGATTATGTTTGATATAGACAAAAAACAAAAGCAGAACCTTTGCCATTTCTCATACCCAGTTGTGAAAATTGTCATACCTAATATAAAGTCAATTAAATGTCATGCATCGCTTGTTACAGAAGAAAAAGTAGACGTTTGTCTTTTACTCTTGCAGATGATGTTAAAATAAATTTCTAATCATAAAAAGTTACTGTTTTAAAATAAAATTTATCTAAAATAACATGTTATGAACAAAGGACAAAATGCTTTTGAAGTTGCTAAGGAGGTTGACGAAATTATGAGAGTGAAAGAAGTTTGAGAATTTAAAAAGTTTTGAAAATGCTGCTGCAGGCAATAGGGTACAGAGAAATTTAGTGTGCTTAGTTACTTTTAGCAGAGTGACATAATTAGCTTTGGGGGTTCTGTGTGTGCTGTGTTTGTGACAGCGTCTTGCTCTGTCATCCAGGCTGGAGTGCAGTGCAGTGGCACCACCCTGGCTCACTGCAGCCTCCACCTCCCAGGTTCGAGTCATTCTCCTGCCTCAGCCTCCCGAATAGCTGGGACTACAGGTGCATGCCACCACACCTGGCTAATTTAGTATTTTTAGTAGAGGCTGGGTTTCACCATGTTAGCCAGGCTGGTCTTGAACTCCTGACCTCAAGTGATCCACACGCCTCAACCTCCCAAAGTGCTGGGATTACAGGGGTGAGCCTCCCTGCCAGGCTATGTTCTCTTTTTCACCATATTGCTCTTATTCTTTTATTTCCTCCCTTCTTCCCACTAAACCATTAAAATGGCCTAGCTATGCCAGAGAACTATAATAAAAGCCTGCTGGAGGTATTTAAAGCCTCACTCTTAAAAGTGTGGTCCCGGTCCAAGGGCAGCGGCATCACCTGGGAGCTTGTTAGAACTGTAGAAACTCAGTCCCTACCCCAGACTTACTACATCAGAATCTGCTTTTTAACAAGACCCCCCCCCCCCAGGTGATACATATGCATGTTAAAGTTTGAGAAGCATTACTCTAAAGCACAGATCTATCCACATTTTTACCTGGCTTCAAAATCTTTGATGTCTTTCAAATTGCAGAGTTGTATTTATACAAAGTATACAACCTGTTGTTCAAAACTCTACAAGGTGACCTCTTTCAACTTTTCAACCTTTTCTCGCTCTGAGTCCCTACAGTTCTATACTCCATCCAGATTGGTGACATCTCTCCTCAAACACATCCAATACTCTTCCCTTTCCCATGCTTGTTTCCAGTTTATGCCCTCTTTTTTAAAGGTTTCCACCGCCCTCCTCTATTCACCCCAACCACCTTCCAAATCCCAGTCTTCCTCTGAAGCACACTCAAACCTGAGCTCTTCCTGATTGCATTTTATAGAGCCCCCTAGTTCAAAATGCTGTCTACCTCCCATGTCTTTAGCAACATGTATACATCTACTAACTCTTAACACATTCTCTTTCCTTGAAGTTATGTGTCTATCTGTCTCCCCGACTTCACCTTGAGCTCCTAGAAAGTGGGGATAGTTTTTTATTCTTCCTCAATGTCTACTACACTGCCATATATAATAGGTGCTCAAGGTCTGCTGAAATGAATTGAAGGGAAAATGGTTTATAGTGACCTATAGGAAGACATCCATGGGCTCCCCTCTCTCCACATCCAGTTCCTCCCCTGACCCAAAGTATAGAAGTTTCTATGGCCTCAGGAGCAGGGACCAGTGAGTTTCAAGGGAGGGCTACATCACTTACCTCTGAGTTTATCTTGGCTGGCACCTGCTTCCAGCTCTGAGTCCCAGAAAACAGCATCCAAAGCCCCAAAATAAAAAAAACAAATAAGAATAAAAGGTTGATACATGATGGCAGTGGGATGTCCATACCCCAAATTGGTGCCATTTTTCAACCAGATGCTCTTCTCAGCATCTGGAGTTTTCTGCCTCCAGGCTGTGACTTCATGTGCTATCACAATGGGCTCTCCCAGGTCTGCTTAGGTCTCTTCTCTGAGCCACACCCAAAGTAGCATCTGCTGCCCCTTCCTGCAGCTGTCCATAGGCTCTGCTCTGACAGCCAAACTCAGGGAAGAACTCCTTTATGACTCTTGTAGGATTGGGCTAGACAGCTTGTCATTAAGTAGGGAGTATAGAGGCAAGGTTTCAAAGATGCAGGCCTTCCAAGTGGCCTGTTCGGCCCTGCAAGCACTTTCTCTAGAGCCAGCCACTCCCTAGAAGTCCAGGTATGAAATTAATGTCCCAAACCACAAACTAGAATACAAGATCAAGTAAACTAAAGAAAGCTAGGATATTTTAAGTAGGTACTCTCAGAACATTTGAGACATACAGTTTCCTAAATCTAAGGCTTGACACATTTCTTAGCTGCTATTGCCCTGGGACAGAAAAGAGATGTCAGAGAGGGAAATTAAATGACCTTAGAGGATCACTCTACCCCAGAATCTACAGTCTCATTTTCAAAGTCTGGAACATTTATTCTGTCAGGTCATCCAGGTGTGACTGGATTCTCCAGGGCTAATTCACTAAACAAAAAAATGTACAAGGAATTAATTCATGCTATAACAAAGATTAATAAAACTGGCCAAAGCATTCTCCTTTCTTTTTTGAGACAGAGTCTCACTTTTTCACCAGGCTGGAGTGCAGTTTCATGATCTCGGTTCACTGCAACCTCCACCTCCTGGGTTCAAGCAATTCTCCTGCCTCAGCTTTCTAAGTAGCTGGGACTACAGGCACGCACCACTACACATGCCAGAATGCAGCACAGAGCTTTCTAAAAGCCTTATCTGGGGCCATTAAGAGAGTTGAAGCATTTTGGACAATATATAGATGGCACGGAGTCATCACTGTGAAGGTTGCTGACCAGAAGCCAACAGAATGGTATTTTAGAAAAATGAATTAAGTAGTACTGTAGGAACAAAGTCTGAAAGGATAGCATATCAAGACATGATTTGTTTTTTCTCTTTTTTTGAGCCTGAGTCTCACTCTTGTTGCCCAAGCCAGAGTGTAGTGGTGCAATCTCAGCTCACTGCAACCTGGGCAGCAAGAGGAAAACTACGTATCAAAAAAGAAAAAGGATTGAAGTTGGGAGACTTGAACCTCTGTCTCTAAGGTTCAAGTGATTCTGCTGCCTCAGCCTCCTGAGTAGCTGGGATTACAGGCTTTGGCCACCATGCCCAGCTAATTTTTTGTATTTTTAGTAGAAACGGGGTTTCACCATGTTTGCCAGGCTTGTCTCAAACTCCTGACCTCAGATGATCCACCCGCTTCAGCCTCCCAAAGTGCTGGAATTACAGGCTGAAATTACAGGCACGGTGGTGCCCAGCCCAGTGGTTTTTAAGGTTGTAAAAATCACTTTGAAAACACCAAGTTTGACTTTTCTTTGCTCACCATAATACCTAACTCTAAGTCATGCACTTTGGTCTTTACTCTGATAGGATATCAACTGAGCCATGTGCTAGTCCAACTCCCCTAACTTTTAGCTGTCAGGGCTCTGTCTTATATCTGTTTAACAACCTTCAGAGGTTCTGACTCTATTATCCAGCAGGCGCTCCACAGATTCCTGCTACCTGATTGAAAAGGAAAAGACACAGAGGAGACAGCTGCAGGTGTGAGAAGGGAAGCTGAGTGTGAATGGAGGCCTAGGAAGAAGGAGGGCCAGAAAGGGCCTGCTGCCCTCACCTTTATCCAGCACTTCTCCCTCAGGCCACTGTTTCCAGAGTCCTGCACTCTGAGGTAGCAGTCCACGGCACGGCTCTACTCTCCAGCCTGCTCCCAGTGTCGAGCTTCTTCCACAAGTCCCTCCACACCCCTGTGGAGTTTAGAGCACTGGGACTAGGCATGCGGGGGCAGCATGCTCTATCCTGTGCATGCCTCATGACCCTCCCAGCCCTGCCACTGCTGCTGGACCTCTGGCCTCATACCTGGCCCCCTTCTTAGTAGCTTCCCGCTCATACTCCTCCTGCAGAGCCTCCAGCTGGCCGGGCACATAGTCTTGCAGATCTGCAGTGCATCACTCCATAATCCAGCCTTCTGCTCAGATTTCCAGGTATCAAGAACGCAGAGGCAAGGCACGACAGCTTCCCACTGCCACACAGGTGCCCTTGTCCACAGACTTCTGGGTCCTTAGACCTCTCTTCTCCTTCCTCTTTCCTGTCTTTCCCACTCCCCAGTACTAATCTCCCTGATCTTTCTTCATACCAGGGGTCACTGTGGCTATCTGTGGGCTCTCAGACTCTCTCTGTCCCCTCATGGCCCTGAATCCAGTGCCCCACCTTATAATAATGGAGAGTCAGGCCTGATCTCTGGGCCTGGAGCAGCAGCCCTTCTGTTTTCTGAAAGTCCTCCCCCGAGGCCCTCCAAGCCTGTCACACAAGCACCTCACGTGGGCCTCGGCCACACGCTGAGCTGTCCCCCAGTCCTGATTATGAACAAACCTGCCCCCAAATGGGGACAGAGGAGAGAATGAGTATAGGACTAAGGCCCCAATTCAGGGAGACAAACGGCCATGTCACTGAGGGGTGTAACACTGATTTGTTCTAGGTTTGAATGAAGGTCAAGATAATCATGAAAGATCCTGGGACTGGGACTGGGGAAACAGGATTAAGGAATGTATGGGGAAACTCACACGAGGACTGCTTCCTTGGGTTTACCAGCTCTGATGAATTCAGCTTCAGCCTCTTTGAATCTCAGCACAGGGAGAAGGACAGCTGTGCGTGATGAGAAGGAGACTGGCATCACAGGCAGCCACGAGACCGGGGTCTGCACACCAGGCAGCAGTGCACTAGGGGATGGAACAAGAGGACTCAGCGGTCAGGGTCCAAATCACACCCATACCTCATCCTCCAGGTACATAGTGTATTTGAGATGGATCTCGGGGGTTCTGTGCTTGAGGGCCAGCCGAGAGAGTTCAAAAGCAAATTCAAAGGAGCTGAAACAGAAGGTGCAGATAAAGTTTTCTTACTTCACACTTCCCTTCATAAAACAAACAACACAAGACAAAACAGAGAAAGGACAGGGTTGAGGGGAGAAGAAGTGACAGGTTTAAGGATAACAGACATGAAGTGACAGAAAAGCATAGAGATAAAGAGGAAGACAGGCAGGCAGCCCTGTGAAGACCACGTCACTGTCGGTGTGGATCAAGAGACGTCTGGAAAAGCCTATGCCTTCCCTGAGGCCAGCTGCTCCTGAGGAAGGAGAATGGGCCTGCGAAGGGAAGGGAGGAGTGAGCCTCTCAGTCCTATGCTGATAGGGCCAGGAGGTCTCCTGGTGCTCACCACCTCCTCCTGAGCCCCAGCTACATTATCAGAAAGTCTCCCCAAAAAATGAGCAAGATCACCCTCAGTATCAGACTCCACGATTGGCATAACAGTTGCTTTAAGAAAAGTTCACTTTGCTCTTTCCGCCATCTTTCTGCACTGCCACAGTGGTGCACATAAATGTTCTGCCTGATGCTCTCAAGAGCATCATCAATGCCAGAAAGAGAGGTTCTTATCAGGTTGTGCTCCAAAGTCCTCGTCTGGTTTCTAACTGTGATGATGAAATGCACTGGGTGAATTTGAAATCACTGATGATCATAGGCAAGGAAAATTGTTGTGAACCTCACAGGCAGACTGAACAAGTGTGGAGCAATCAGCCCCAGATCTGACATGCAACTCAGATATCTAGAAAAATGGCAGAATAATTTGCTCCCATCCGGCCAGTTTGGTTTTTTGTTGTTGTTGAGATGGAGTCTCACTCAGTTGCCCAGGCTGGAGTGCAATGGCAGGATCTTGGCTTGCTCCAACATCTGTCTCCCAGATTGAAGCGATTGTCATGCCTCAGCCTCCCAAGTAGCTGGGACTACAGGTGCCTGCTACCATGCCCAGCTAATTTTTGTATTTTTAGTAGAGATGGGGGTTTCACCATATTGGCCAGGCTGGTCTCGAACTCTGGACCTCAAGATCCACTCGCCTCGGCCTCCCAAAGTGCTGGGATTACAGGTGTGAGTCACCGTGCCTGGCCACCGGTTTGGTTTTATTGTACTGACAAACTCAGCTGGCATAATGGACCATGAAGAAGCAAGACAACAACACATCGGAGGGAAAATCCTGGGATTCTTTCTCTAGAGATGTAATACATATTTACAAATAAAATACCTCATGAGCTCTGGTGCTTCCAAAAAAAGAAAAGTACGCTTTGAATTTGACAGAATCACACTTCCACTACCCAGAAGCAAGTGACTGGCTTAGAGCAGTCTGCAGTGCTAGCTTTACAATCTGTTCCCTCTCCACCCTTCTTAGAACGGCCAAAACTTAAACACTGTTCGGAGCCCCTAGGGAATAGGAGCAGTTCATTTATTCTTGCCACTCTCTCATGTCCTTCCAAGGATCTTCCTTTACTACATTTCTTTATTCTTGTCTCCGCTTCTGGAAATATTTTTCAGTTATACATAAATTTTCTTTATCTAGAAAGGGGCTCTGGCTGGGATGGGGCTCATGGAGAGAAAGTTCGGGGCCTCACCAATTGTCTGCAGAGTGGTCAACAGAAGCTTCCAGGAGTCCCAGCTTGGTAAGCAATCTAACTGCAGCTTCTCCTCCCAGGCTCTTTGCCCACAGATAGGCCACGTGTTTGTGGGCATTAGCCCCTCCTTGAGTCCTGGCCACCTGTAAAGCAAACTCATTCAATAATCCTCCAATACAGAGTTGCTCTCTTCTCATCTCTGACCTTGGCTTTGACAAGGATCCAGTAACTGTTCTAAATTAACAGGGAGAGGCTGGGTGCGGCGGCTTATGCCTATAGTCCCAGCATTTTGGGAGGCAGAGGCAGGCCGATCACTTGAGGCCAGGAGTTCGAGACCAGCCTGACCAACATAGTGAAAGCCCATCTCTACTAAAAATACAAAAATTAGCTGGGCATGGTGGTGAGTGGCTATAGTTCCAGCTACTCGGGAGGCTGGAACTACAGGAGATCTGCTTGAACCTGGGAGACAGAGGCTGCGGTGAGCCAAGATCGTGCCACTGCACTTCAGCATGGGCAACAGAGTGAGACTCCATCTCATAAAATAAAATAAAAAGTTAACAGGAAGAAGGCTACATCTCAGGGTTTCTTAACTTAGGTTCAAGTACTTAGGGTCCAAGGAGAGGCTTCACCTGCCACAAACCCTCAAAATTATGTGACATTTTCTGTATATAGATGTGAACGTGGTTCTGGCAAGAGAGACTCTGATCTTCACTCCATTTTCAAAGATGCTCTGACTGATTGTGAATTACTCACTTAAAATGGGAAAGAAGGGCTGGATGGTGGTTCATGCCTGTAATGCCGACACTTTGGGAGGCCAAGGTAGGTAGATTGCTTGAGCCCAGGGGTTCAAGACCAGCCTGGGCAACATGGTGAAAACCTGCCTCTATAAAAAAAATTTAAAAATTAGCCAGGTGTGGTGTGCACACCTATAGTCCCAGCTACACAGGAGGCTGAAGTGGGAGGATCCATTGCTTAAACCCAGGAGGTCACGGCTGCAGTGAGCTATAATTGAATCACTGCACGCCAGCCTGGGTGACAATGACACCCTGTCTGAACGAAAAAGAAAAAGAAAAAAAACTGTGGGAAAAAAGGATGCGTGTATCCCTCATTGTGGCCTGAATTCCTTACCCCATAGGCCTCTTCCCAAAGCCCACTGGCTTGGTACATGTTCACTGTTGCCATCCATTCCTGAGCCTCGACGTAGTGGTACTCGACCTCCTGTAGTCGGCCTTCAGCCTCCAGCTCCTGCAAGAAGGTGAGTCAAGATGGAGGGATGGGGAGGTGGAGCCTGGCTGGAGAAGAGATACATAGAGCCAGGAGAAGGGCTCACTTGCCCAGATGTAGGTGTGTGTCACTGAGGAGATCTGGATGGTGCTTCCCAACCAGGCAGATCGTGTCATCATACAGCTTGTATTTTTGTACATGGTGATGGCAAGATCAGGCTCTTCTACTGTCACATAGAGCCTGGGGGAAGGGAGATATATCTGGGGCCTCCTAGACCCATTTCCCTACTGTCACTGCCTTCTGGGCAGAGGGTACACATTTTGAGCCCCATCCCTCCTCCCAGCAATGAAATCTCATCTCTCCCTATACCTCCTCTGAGGCCACAGCTCGCCTTTCAGCCTCACAGTACTTGCCCTGCTTCTCCATTTCCTGGGCCTGAGTGATGTACAGCACCGACACATCTTCTGGTCTCATGCATTTCATCACCAGCTGTGGAGGCACAGAAGCAGGGTAGCCTCAGGTCCAACTCCCCAGGGAAGCAGGGCTTCAAGGGAACCTGTTTTTCAGGAACTCTGAACTCTCCCAACAATCACAGGAGTTTGGTCATTGCCACTCTACTAGTCAGGTCGGGGAATTCCAAGTCCTTATGGAGCAGAGGAAGAACTATATTCTGCTAAGGTGGGACGGTCTGCAATGCCTTGTGCTGGGACATACACTCCCATTGCCACTGTAACCACTGGGCTCTGAAGTGTAAGGCAAGAACAAAGTCATCATTGTGACCAGAGCCATCAGGAGTGGTAGTTCAGATTCTGCAGCTCCCAAGCCCATCTGTTCCTTCAAGAATGATAGATAGGTCTGGAAACAAGGGCCTCTCTTCATCCCTTCCTTTCTCTGTGGCTAGGGTTCAAAGTGGCTCAGACTGTTTTTTGGTATTTTTTATCAGCTTTCACGGAGCCAAGCAAAGAGGAGAAACAGACCCAGGAATGAGGCCACACTGCCACTAAGGCAGAGTTCTCTTATCATGAAGTCCACCCATCTCTACCTTGTGGGCTTGTTCCCAACGGCCAGCCTGGGTGTACATGTCTATAGCATCTTTTGTTCGGTCTCCCTTAGTACAGAACTCCTCAGCAATCTGTAGTTGATGAGAGGTAGATACAAAAGGTCAGAGCAACAGGGTTGAATGAGGAAAGAACAAACCTTGGCTGGGATGGTGGAGAGCCTGCGATATGACCTTGTAATAACAGAGAAGAAAAGATGAGTATAGGTGTCTCATACATTGTACCATTTAAAAAGAAAGGCCAGCCCCAAACAGTAGGACCATACAGTGGAATTCAAAAGGGCCTCACGTTCCTGCAATGCAAAAGCAATTTTATATAGTTATTCATGAAGAATCACTCATGCTGGCTGGAACAGAGCTAGAGACTCACTTTATATATCTGGGGTGAAGGGAGGTATCTGTGTCACGCTGGAGTGAAACTGGGAAAGCAAACTGTCCTTTTCTCATTCAAGGCTGTGATGCTGTTTGGGGCCCAGAAAGAAGGATCAGGGGAACTGGCCTCCACTTCCTGCTTTGGGTCCTCTCACTGTTATCCTCTACTGTACCCACCTCATGCTGCAGAAAGGACTCTCCCTCACCTCATACTCCTCCACTTCCTGCTTTGGGTCCTCTCACTGTTATCCTCTACTGTACCCACCTCATGCTGCAGAAAGGACTCTCCCTCACCTCATACTCCTCCACTTCCTGCTTTGGGTCCTCTCACTGTTATCCTCTACTGTACCCACCTCATGCTGCAGAAAGGACTCTCCCTCACCTCATACTCCTCCACTTCCTGCTTTGGGTCCTCTCACTGTTATCCTCTACTGTACCCACCTCATGCTGCAGAAAGGACTCTCCCTCACCTCATACTCCTGCAGAGATGCATAGTGTTGGGCCACGAGAGGATAGTATTTGGACAGGGTGTTCCGGTCCTGTAGATCTAATATACAAATTGCCTTCTTCTACTGGCAGGCACCCAGGGTGGCCTCAATTGTCTTAATGGAGCCCCTGGCAAAGTTGGGAAAGATATAAATATGTAGGCTGAAAGATGAAGATGAATGGAGGTAAAGCGACCCCTTAAGCACACTTCCACCTACATTTTGAGATCTCTTCTTTTCAGCCTTGGTGTCCTTACTTGCTCCACTGCCCCTCACTTCACACCCAAATGTCCTTTACACTCCCATACTCCCATACCTGGCTTCAATGTAGTGATTAGTGGCTGCATCAAGCTGCTTCTGCTGCACCAGGTGGTCCCCCCATGCCTCCTCTAGTTTCACCAACTCCACTGGGAAGGCCAATCGAGCCAACTCTACCGCTGCCAGGGAGAGAAAAGGTGCTCAGCCCGGACTTCCAGCGATGGACCTCAGGAAAAAGGTAGGACAGGGAGATGAAGGATGGAGTGAGAAGGAGAAGTGCGATGGGGAGGAATGGAGAACTGGAGCCAGGCAACCTAAACACATGCACCAAGAGGTGCCGGGGAGACAGATGGGCAAGAGTCTACAACAGTAAAGGATGGCTTCTGGGGGGCTAGTACCTTTCATGAATGCGTTCCCTTTACGGTAGCACTCCAGGGCCTGCTGTGGATTGTGAATCTTCTCAAAGAGATCACCTGCCTGTTAACACATACCACATTACTATGGTACCCCTACAACACAAAGAATCAAGTATTAGCTCCAAAAACAAGGGAACACCAGCAGTCAGGAAGTGCTCTGTGCCCTGAGACTCCTCTGGGCGAGAGAAGGGTCCTGAGCTCTGGAGATAAGGGCTAGGAGGAGGAAGTGAGCATACCCTTTCGTAGAGTTCCCCCTTGATAAGGGCTGCAGTGATGTGTTCTACCAGCTCTGTGTTGGCTAGCAGTTCCTCTAGGGACAGCACCAGCCAAGCAGCTTTGTCAGGGAGCCCAGCTTTGAGGTAGAGGCTGAAGGCTGCTAGCCCATCTCCTTGGCTCAACTGTAGTTCACCTGCTCGCTCCTCCTGCTCTGTGTCCATCAGCCACTAGTAATAACTGTGGCGTAGATTCTCCAGGGCTGGATGCCCCTGGATACGCACAGAGGAGAACTAGGAGTCACATCCCTTCCTACCCTTGTGCCTCTCATGCTTCTCTAATCCCTCTATAACAAGGGAAACCCTCCTGGGTCAGCAGTATCCTAACTCCGCACCATACCAAGTCCAAGCCCCAACCCTGTTCTGGTTTCTATGGCCTTGACAAAAGAAGGTTTTTTGAAACTGGCAGAACCAAATTCTGAACAACTGTGGAGAAGACAAAACGGGTACCTTGGCTTCAGCCACAACGACACACTCATCCCAATGGTGTAGCTCCTGGTACATGCCCATGGCCTCCTCCACAGCATTCTAGGGGAAACAGGCAGAGCAGAGAGGATGACAGAAGGATATGAGGATCAGAAAGCAGCAAGTTCTCCTCAGCCTGGCTAAGATGTCAGCACATGAGGACCAAAAACCTTACCTTTTAACCACTATGCCAGCAAAAATATTGGGAAACTTAAAAAAGCTTAAGATTCAGGGCTCCTTATTTGCACAAGCCCTTTCCAAGGCAACTGTTCTTTGTTTTTGAGATGTAGGATTACTCTGTTGCCCAGGCTGGAAGGCAGGGGTGCGATCTCAGCTCACTGCAACCTCTGCTTCCTAGGCTCAAGCGATTCTCCCGCCTCAGCCTCAAGTAGCTGGGATTACATACAGGCATGTGCCACCATACCTGGCTTTTTTTTTTTTTTAAATAGAGGTGAGGTTTCACCATGTTCACCAGGCTGGTCTTGAATTCCTGCCCTCATGTGATCCACCTGCCTCAGACTCCCAGAGGGCTGGGATTACTGGCATGAGCCACCACGCCCAGCCTAAGGCAACTGTTCTTAAAGAGAGCTCCTCAAATTGTGTAAGTTTCCAGCCAAAAACAAAACGTGGATCTACCCCTATGCAGAAGAATTGCAAAGACAGGATCTGGACTAGAGGAGAGGTGGTAGACTGCTTATGAAAGAAAGAAGTAATCAAAGGCCCAAGAAGGAAGTTTGTCTAGAAAAGTAAGGACTAACCCAAGAGGAGGAAATTAGGGAAAGGGTGAAATTAACTATGTAAACCTCTCTGAAAGGTTTCCCCAAACCTTTGGAAACATAGCTCACCAGTACACTTTTCCTCCCTTGCATTTGCACCCCCTTTTCCCTCTTTTTCCCTCATATCCCCCGCCCCTGCATCCTGTCCCTCTTTTCTGTTACCTGTTCCAAAAAGATCATTTCGGCCAGTTTGTGGTTCTTTCCCAGCATGGCTAGACGTGCTCAGACCTGAAAGTCTGTCCCTTCTCTACCTGTGGGGGAAAAGGAGGTTGTGGTTTTTCTGTAGTTGCTGCATTCTGTCTGTGAGGGCTGAGATTAGAAGGCCAGATGGATGTAGAAAATAAAAGACCTTACAAATCAACAGGAAGTTAAAAAAAAAAGATTTGGGAAGGTAAAACACTTCATGGAGCTTAAAGGTTTGAGGTTCAGCGACTCTGAAATGGTCTGACTGGAGGGTAGAGGTGGAGTGGGCAGGGTAAAGGAAACTAGGCATGGCTGGAAAGCTAGTAATCATGGGGCTGAATACTACAAGAAATCAGTTTGGGAGATGGAATGAATCAGGAGCATAATACTTGCATATTCATGGGATACTTGATCTGCAATCTCATTGGTCTCATGCAGGAATTGAGCTTTTGCTACTTGGCCCAAAGCAGAAAAGCACCTATGGCATGGAAGCAAAGACATTAATATAATATTATTACAGAATCGTCATTAATTCATTGGTTCAGCAAATACAAATTGATGTGCATCTATGATGTGATGTGCCAGGCAGTGTGCTTGTCACTGGAGACACATAGGAGAAAAGGGATGATGAGGGCCTTGCTCTCAAGAGAACTTCCATTCTAATAGAGACAGATAATTAGTAAAAGTAGAGATAATAAAAAATAAAGTAATATAATACTGTAGATCAAGCTTGCTCAACCCATGGCCCAAGATGGCTGTGAATGTGGCCCAACACAAATTCATAAACCTTCTTAAAATATTATGAGATTTTCTTTTTATTCTCTTCCTTTTTTTTTTTTTTAAGCTCATCAGCTATCATTAGTGTTAGTGTATTTTATGTGTGGCCCAAGATAATTCTTCCAATGTGGCCCAGGGAAGCCAAAAGATTGGGCGCCCTTGTTACAGTGACCGAAGGGGCCAGTTTAGTTGGTAGTTGGAGAAGGTCTCCCTGATGAACTAATTTGAGCTGAAACCTGAATACAAGAAAAAGCCAGTCATGGCAGGATGGGCAAAAGTCATTCCTGGAGAGGGAACAGCTAGTGTAAAGGCCCTACAGCAGGTATGAGCTTGGCACGCTCACAGAGCCTGAAGGATGCCAGTGTGGTTGGAGACTAATGGGCAAGTAGGGGGCTGGCACGAGAAGGAAGCAGAGGCCAAAAACCTTCAGGGCTGAGGCCACACAAGGAGACTTGAGGGACGTGGCAGGGAACACAGAAGAATGCAGCGTTTTTGTTTGTTCATTTTTCTGAGACAGAGTTTTTGCTCTTGTTGCCCTGGCTGGACACAATCTTGGTTCACTGCAAACTCCGCCTCCCAGGTTCAAGCGATTCTCCTGCCTCAGCCTCCCGAGTAGCTGGATTACAGGCATGCACCTCTAATTTTGTATTTTTAGTAGAGACAGGGTTTCTCCATGTTGGTCAGGCTAGTCGCGAACTCCCAACCTCAGGTGATCCACCCGTCTCAGTCTCCCAAAGTGCTGGGATTACAGGCATGAGCCACCACACCCGGTGAATGCAAAGTTTTAAGTGTGAGAGGGATGGCCAGGTTTACAGTGTCTGGGCTTCTTCCATGAGGCTCTGGGGGCCAGAACAGAGACCAGGTGCTAGAACCTACGAGGTAAAAACCGATCCCTCAACTTCACTCAGCCAGGGACCCAGAGCTGGCCAACACAGCAGCTCAGCAGTGAGCTCCTTGCCACAAGAAGTCTGTGTAGAAAGTGCCTGGCCCCCTGCCAGGCCTCCGCTCTAGGGAGGGTTGTCCTGTGAGCTTTTGTCCCAGCCTCGTCTCACTGTTTGCTCCCACATTGCACTAGCAGCTCCCAGCAGCTCCGGGTCCACTTTCCAGGTTGGCCTCCCTTGCCAGTTCTGAGCTGAAGCATGGCGCTGACGGGCTGCCCAGCCTCTAGGGGTGGACAGCTGGTACTGACGGTCAGAGGCAGGAGGGCTGAGAACTCGCCATCCTCTGTGTAAAGTAAAGGTGTCCTTTAAGCTGAAGGTGCAATGAAAGAACCTCCCCAGCACGCCTACGAAACTCAACAAAAGATGAGCACTGGTTACCCCTGGATGATGGCGTCGTCAATGGTTTTAATTTATGCTATTTTTGTGCCTCTCTATTCTTTCCAGTACTCTCCAATGACTATATGCTGGTTTTATAATCAAATAAGCTTTTTTTTTTTTTTTTTTGAGATGGAGTTTTGCTGTTGTTGCCCAGGCTGGAGTGCAGTGGCACAACCTTGGCTCACTGCAACCTCCACCTCCCGGGTTAAAGTGACTCTCCTGTCTCAGCCTCCTGAGTCACTGGGATGACAGGTACGCACCACCACACCTGGTTAATTTTTGTATTTTTAGTAGAGATGGGGTTTCACCATGTTGGCCAAGTTGGTCTTTAACTCCTGACCTCAAGTGATCTATCTGCCAAAGTACTGGGATTATAGGCATGAGCCACTGTGCCTGGCCCAATAAACTTTATTTTTAAGAACCAACTTTCTTCTCCCTTCTCAGACACATCCATCATCTGTCAAGATCAGCCATTCAAGAGCCCTCAACCCTGCCTCCTCTTCCTTCAGCCCCCATGGTACTCACACACACCAGGGAGGGTGTCACAGCCCATGGGGTTTCATCTCCAGGGTACCTCATTGCTGGGAAGGCCACAGCACCCTGCTCCCTGTGCTGCCAGATGCTGGGCTCTGTGGACAGCGTGTGTTACATAGCAGGTGCACACTGACGGTCCCCTTCCTTAGTCCTGGAGGTGGTCTCTGCTGTGGCTCTGCATGCCACCAATGCTCTCTGACAATCTCTAAAGACAGCCTTTGGGGCCAGGCATGGTGGCTCACGCCTGTAATCCCAGCACTTTGGGAGGCCGAGGCAGGTGGATCACAAGATCAGAAGATCAAGACCATCCCGGCCAACATGGTGAAACCCCGTCTCTACTAAAAATTACAAAAAATTAGCCAGGCCTGGTGGTGAGGACCTGCAGTCCCAGCTACTCAGGAGGCCTAGGCAGAAGAATTGCTTGAACCTGGGAGGCAGAAGTTGCAGAGAGACAAGATCGTGCCACTGCACTCCAGCCTGGTGACAGAGAAAGACTCCATCTCAAAAAAAAAGAAAAAGACAGTGTTTGATGTCAGAAATACCCCAGCCTCTAAGTAACCCATGATGGTATACAGCCAGCAATGAGGAATTTCTTGAGAGCTCTCCCCTGGAGACCGGGTGGCGGGAGGGCGTGCCTGCAACTGAGATAACTGCCAAAGTTAGCGGGGAAGGAAGAAAAGAACGAGGAAGGGAGCGGGGAAGGGAGGGGAGGCAGACAGGAGACAAGGTGGTGCATGGAAGAGAGCCTGGCCATCCCCATAGGCCACCCTATCACCTTGTCTCTCCCAGTGTCCAAGGCCCTTCTTCCGGGCTGCTATCCCTAATACGTCCACTAACCTGGCAGCCTGGCAGCCAACAGTAACACTGAAGTCCAAGAGCCCAGCTTTGCACACCTCCAGCACTCCTGCCACAGAGCAGAAAGGGTTCTGGTGTCACAGACCTGGCGCCTTGAGCCATCCTGGGACAGGCAATGTCTGTGGCCACTGAGGAGCTGACCTCAGCGTGGCTCAGCCGGGACTAGAATGGGAGCAGAGACGGAGCTTCTGAGTCTCTCCATGTGGTGGGAAGGTCTGCCTGTATGTGCATTATTCCTCCTTCCATGGCCCTGCCTTCACGGTGCCCCAGCTCTACTGGGGAGACTCACTCTGACACATGAAACATAGCAGACACCCAAGAGGCACAGGAAATGGTAAGACGTGAATGAGACATCACGGGTGAATACTAGCCAGGAACTCCCTTCTGGAAAAAACAGGGCTGATGGCATTGGATCAAGTCTGAAAATCACCAAGGACAATGAAGAGAACCAACACAGACCTGTCTAAGATCCTGAAACAGACCCCCAGGCATCCCGTGAAACTTGGAAGAATGATCTGATAACAGAGGGCAGTTGATTTTTACACAATGGGCAAAGGTACAGGGCTCCTTACCGAGCGGGTGACACAGGAAAAAACACGGCGGAGACCAGGAGAACTCAGATAAACTCCTGGGAATGCCACAGTGTGCCATGGAGGGGAGCAGGCATTCGGGGGGCTCCTGACCTCCACAGATGGCCCCTATCACCAGTGCCTGATGGAGCTGCCTATCTAGCATGGGTGGGCCTCCTTCCTTCAGAGAAATTAAAGAAAATTTAATTTCCTTAAAATAAAATCCTTTAGGTTTGGTTTTGTTTTTGAGACAGAGTCTCACTCTGTCGCCAGGCTGAAGTGCAGTAGCCCGATCTCAGCTCACTGTAACCTCCATCTCCCAGGTTTAAGCAATTCTCCTGCCTCAGCCTCCCAAGTAGCTGGGATTACAGGTACACACCACAATGCCCAGCTAATTTTTTGTATTCTTAGTAGAGATGCGGTTTCACCATGTTGGCCAGGATGGTCTCAATCTCTTGACCTCACAATCCACCCGCCTCAGCCTTTCAAAGTGCTGGGATTATAGGTGTGAGCCACTGCACCTGGCCAAAATCCTTTAGTTTTAAGGGATTTAAAATGAAATCCTTTAAGCCAGACCTGCCCTTGTGTGTGCTGAGTTCCAGAACCACACACTGCCAGCGAGCAGCAGAGAGAACACACCTGCCTAGCCCGGAGGGAGCACAGGTGGTGTTTCCTCTTCTTCCCAGGAGCACTGACCAGAATCCTTGGAAAGACCCAATGTCCTCCTTCCCAGGGCCAAGAAGAAAGGCAGAGAGAGGGAGAGAGGATGGCAGAGAGGCCCCCAAGCTCCCCCCACAGGCTGCTGGATGCTGAGACATGAGACAGGGTCAACTGCCCCAGGAGGGGATGGGGAGGGGAGAGCCCTGGCAAGGAAGCCCCTGAGACTCCGGACTCCACAGGAATCATTTCCCGAGCCTGGCTGGGGTGGTGCAAGCCTAGTCAACCACACGCCCTCCATTCCCTGCTACCGAGCTCCAGCAGGAACTGGCCCCTGTGAACCTGTGCCTGCCTTATCCAATCTCACACTATGACTAAAAAGACCAGCCACCACACGGTCCTGGTTCTGGGAGCGCTGGGGCCTTGCCATCTGGCAGGACCT